CCGCTTAGCCGCAGCGAACGTACCAAACTTAAAATTCGGTTCTGCGTCCTTCGACCGGCGAGTACGGCGTGTACCCTAAACAGCACCGGGTAGTCATAAACTCATCAGCTTATAAAGTCATTTTCTACTATATCTTGAAAAGGACTATACATTGTAAGTTTTGTTTTTTTAGAAAATATTACTTCCAGGTATACACATTTTGTCGTATTACCAATGTGCTAGTACTTAATCAGCTTTATTGGTACCTAACCATTTATTTGTTTCCAATTATTTGAATAAATCATTGTTTGTTAAACATTCAACTTATTTTTAGCTTTTTAAGGTTTAATTTACGATGGTATTTTATCGAAAAATTGACGTTCACATGACGCAACGTCGTTTAATCGTAAATTAATGTTTATAATGATAAGATGATCCAATTGATTACGGATTTAGGTCGTATATTGGAAATATTTTATTTCTACACAACAATAGCCCTTATAATAAATTCAAAATGCATTTTAATAATCTTGAATTGCTTAAATACTTTTTATATAAATCAATAAATCACATCAAGTGATAAGATATGTGCAATTGTTACAAAAATGTACACATCATTTATTTACCTAAGTATGTATGTAGATAAAGTTGCATTTAGCTCGAGTACTTACTAAAGCTTCTACCCGCAATTAGCGCCTAAATATTAATAAGTTGACTCCAATTGCTACGGAGATGTACCAAATACACGACCAGAACTGGCCTTAAATTACTAGAAAAAACACCATCGACACTAACCTCTGCTTTTATTACACTGTATTAACTGTTGTATCGAACTTGCGATAAATTTCAGCGAGCAGTTGAATCGCTGCGACTGAAAGTAAGCACGTGCATCAATCCCGCAGTAAACTATGCTCACATTTTATCAGTCATCCCATGTAGCAGGCCTATAAGTTGCGGTTAAGCCCCGTAAACGTAATTTTTAAGCGATTCCACTTGTGCTTGGTCAGAAAATTTCATTACACGCCTATTCCGTGCCGGTTCCGCTTCGTATCGATAAAAAATTCGAAATGAAAATGTATGATGGGGGATAACAATAATTTAGCGTACTTAGAATGTTCTTTGGAAAAATTCGTCGGTTGTGGGTTGCTCTTTAGGTTAGGCGACAGGTAGGAAATGAAATCAAGATTTACACTAATAAAGTTTTATTTAAGAAAAATCCATCACAGCGCTAGTTTTTAAATTCTCTACCGACAAAAATACTTACAGAAAAATAGAATGTTTATGGGAAGTAGTAAAATATTGATAGTACGAAGGGTTCGAATTCAATAAGTAGAAAATATGTTCGAGGCTAATAATATTTGAGTTTGTTAAATTTAAGTTGGAAGACCGACATCGGGAAGAAATCGAAACGATCTGCGTAAACGCAACTGAATAAGCAGTTTAAATTTTATTAGCGAACAAATATTTTCAACTCGAACATACAATATATTTGGCGTTAAACCGTACAAAATCTGTTTGTTTCAATTAAATCAATAAACACCTAACTCTTTTTACGACAAAAAAAAAATGATCAAAAATATCCACACTCTCAAAGCTTTGGTCTTTTATTTACACGCTCAAATGGAGTCGTTCTCGTCATCGTAATTGGGACGCAACAGCCCTTCCTGATCCTCGTCCACGTGCCATTGCCGGTAACTTATCCCATCTCCCGAACTGTACAAAACATTTTTCGTTAAGGAGGATTAATGATTCGCCGCGAACGCGAGCGAACGCGATCGAAAGCTCCCCGAAAAGCGGCTTTCTCAATGCACAAAACAATCAGCTCATGGGCCCAATCGAAGCTGTGAATTCGGCAAATGAATGAAATGAACGAGATGCAAAAAATGTTACATGCGCTTTTATGAACACCGCTTAGCAGCAAGCCGCGTATTCCGAGCACACGGAATGCTTGTTATTACACTAATCGTACTTCAAACGCAAATTGTTAGAATTTAGCACAAACAAATTATTTACTTCGGTTCCTGTATGTGTTCAGTGTAGTTCTATTGTTAAATCAATTAGCAACCATACACCTACAAACGTTTAATATATTTATATCAATTAATAATTAACATCAAATTTGTTGGATATTTGAGGATTTTGGTAGCCGAAAACAGTTAAATCTTCTAGATTAGTTTTGTGTGTGGGTATCTATTTTTTCTGTATTTATTTGCTGTATTAGTGAAGTATGTTTTGGGTATTTATTACACTATTAAGTGTACTTTTAGCATCAAAATAGCCCAAAGACAAAATCGCCCGAGATAGATCTGTCCCGACATAATATCCCAAAAACAAAATAGCCCAGGAGAACATATCACAATACAAGAATTGTAACAAATCATAAATTTGTCGAGTTTTTTTAAGGATAATCAGTCGTTATTTTATGAAGCATCAAGATTCAAATTTATCGGATTATACATATAATATTGCACTAAATAAAATGACTATATCTCTATTAATAATGCAACTATTTATAGAAGCTTTAAGTAAAATAAAATTACTGTTTACCATAAAATAGAACATAATGAAAAAATGTCTTAGAAACTTTGGAAATCTAATAAATAATGCTTTGCTTTTAATTTTATTAGTCTGTTTTGTCTCAGGCAATTCTGTCTTTGGACTATTTTGTTTTTGGGCTGTTTTGTTTTGGGACTTCTATCTTGGGCTATTTTGAGTTTGGGCTACTTTGTTTTGAGCTATTTTGTCCTGTGCTGTTTTGTCTTGGACTATTTTGTGTTTGGGCTGTCTTGTCTTAAGCTGTTTTGTCTTGGGCTATTTTGTGTCTGGGCTGTTTTGTCTTGAGCTGTTTTGCCTTGGGCTATTTTGTGTTTGAGCTGTGTTGTCTTGAGCTGTTTTGTTTTGAGCTGTTTTGTCTTGGGCTATTTTGTGTTTGAGCTGTTTTGTCTTGGGCTATTTTGTGTTTGAGCTGTGTTGTCTTGAGCTGTTTTGTCTTGGGCAATTTTGTGTTTAAGCTGTTTTGTCTTGGGTTGTTTGTCTTGGACTATTTTGTGTTTGGGTTGTTTTGTCTTGAGCTGTTTTGTCTTGGGCTGTTTTATCTAGGGCTATTTTGTCTTGGGCTATTTTAACGGTGCTATTTTGTTTTGAGCTATTTTGAACGCTGTTACGTATTTTAATATGAACATATAACTTGCAAAATTTGTCTCATATGATCGGCTTTTCACAGGTTTGTATTATCATGGAAACGTAACCTGGTTAAAAACTCATATACAACAATTTTCTTCCTTTCATAACATGTATGTATAATAAAACGTGGACAAAACAGGACAGGCCAGTGAAATTTATACCACAGTAAATCAAAAAGCTTCACCACGCCAATCACATAAAGAAGGCTACCATTCCAACATTATATTAAAAAAATTTGGCAATACATTAGTGGAAATAGTTAAGGCAATTTGATAGAAAACTCACAAAACTGTTGAGTAAAAGCTTTCTAAAAGTTGGCACCTCGAATGGGGAATGGGTTAAGAGGAGTTAGCTGATTACTCAATCGATTAACTTAATCGATTAGTTAATCGAACAATGAATGAGTCGAAAGGGGACGTTAGGCAATGTTACTTTGGCTCTAAAAACCCAGCGATACTTGCAATTAATCAGCTAAAGCAAGCCGACGTGTTAGACATGATCAGACTGAAGTTCACGTGGATTATGCAAGTTATTACTTCCTTCCCCGGACAATCCGTTCGAACGATAAAGAAACGTACTACTGCGAATTTGTAAAAATGTTTATTGCAATAAATAAAGAAATCCAGTGGCAACCAGTCTTCATAACAAGTAACTAATGAAGTTAAATCGACTAAGAACAGAATCAAAAAAAAAACAATCTGCGAAATAGCTAAGTAGAATTTGAATTACGTCCTGACCTGTTCTGGGTGGTGTCCATTGAGTGATAACTACTGGCATGGAGGCGCGAATGTACAGGATACTCTAAACCATTACCCAAACTACAAAAATTCATAAAAATTTTATTATTCATTGCGGTTAGAAACTCGTCATTTGCAGTAGTGAATGATCGAAGCACTTCTTATCTATGAGCAACAAACCTATTGCAAATTATTATTAATCATTTTCACTAAGCACAATGTTTTATGTTCACAGATTGAGTATCAAATTGGAAATTTTGAGATTTTTAAAATATTTTGTTCTTGGTTAATTTTTTATGTTTTATAGCTTCCAAAATAAGCAATTAATACTCTCATTACTTTATTATTCCTTATAAACTTGGCAAAAACCGGCGATTTTATGGGACATGAGGAATCCTTCATTGACACTCGATTCGGGAACATACTGTATATATTTCGGGGCCCCTTGGGTGCTTCATCATTTCGAGCATAATTACCTGGAGAACCGCCCTATATTTCTAAGGTCTGGAAACAGCCTAAGCTTTTTGCATTAGAGAATGTGTCCCGTTATTTGAACACTTTTTTTGAGCTTCACTTTTGCGCCGCACCGCGGCGAACTATCGGAGGATCAACTTATTTCAGCCAATCAGCGTCGCGCTACATATAAATCGCGGTTGCGAGATGACAGTTCAAGCTGTCAAAACTTCAAAAATTATTTTTTGACATTTCGAGGAGAAAATCGAGAAATACATTAATCGAAGATACGTGATGAATGATGTGAACAACAAAATCATCGTCGATTTAAGTAAGTTTTTATATTTTGTATCTAATTTTAGTTTGGATAAAACCTTTCCTAATGCTAATTCTATATAATTCGTACGCAAAAAAACGTGACTAGCGCAATCGTCCGCCATGTTTGGTATTTTTAAGCGGAAAATTCAAATATTGCAGAAAATTATAGAGCATATTGTATGTCACATTATTAACCAATAAACCGACACAACAGAAATGTTAGGTTAAAATTTAGGTTAAATTCACGCGTTTGAAAGAGTTATGTTTACTTCTGGCAAAAAAAATTGTTAAGCGGCAGCCATGTTTGGGATTTTGATAGCTATCTTTTTCTATCTTATAATTGATTGCGATACTTATAGTATCTAGGGACTTTACGTGATCCATTACAACATCGCCTCCTAGCGGCCGTTTTAGGAACCATGTTTGATCTTCAAATAACGAGACACTCTTTCGACCTATGTTTCCATACCTTAGAAATGTACGACCGTGCGTGGAGGTAACAGCAAAATTAAATCGATGTACTAGGAATTTCTGAATTCCCATTCTAAGGCACTCGAAATGTATTATTACTTCGCCGCTAACGAACAAAAAAATAATGAGTAAATTCGCCTTAAAATGTCGAAGAATTCTTAAACGACCCGTACACACAATAAGTAATAAAATTATTATTTGTCTTCTTACCTGTCGATTGTTCGTTTCAAAAAAATCATCAAAACAAGAAATAAAGCGACATGTGTTAATTAAAAAAATAAAAAACATTTCAAACAGCATGCAGTAATTGTATCTTCTATAAACAAAATGGACACCCGTGGTTTATTTGGGATAAAACGTATACTAAAATGCTTCTGTACACTGGTTGCAACCGAGCTACGTTCGACTTATTTTTACAGTGTTGCACAAACTGAATCCCAAACAGGATACATGCAAAGGTATGTTAGAAAGATAACATGTATCCCATTCCGTAGTTTTGCCACTCCGGTTGAAATAAAAAAAAAGAATGGAAATAATTAAATAACGAAATATATTGCCAATGTTAACGTGTAAATGAATAATTTTGCTTTTGAGCTTAACTATTTCCACAAACTCGTCATTCTCGAGAAAACTCACAAACATTACGTGTTTATAAAATGCATGCAAAGCGAAAGCCGTTAGCGACATATAAGTTTCCAATATCACGTAGAAATAAATTTGTTTGTTAAATTTAACGTAGGTACTATATTTTTTTTAAATACTTTTTAATTATAATTTTTTATCACTTTTAATTAGCGTATATAACGAAAAAATAAATAATTAGTATTGAACTCCCAACGGAATAAAAAAATGATAATGATAAATTCGAGTATACAACGCATGAGTAATATCCTTTAAATAAACAGTAATTACTCTTATCCTAGTACCGAATTATATTGTTTCAGCTGTAGCATCAAATAACATGCACGAGATAATAATTACAACTAGTTAGGAATGATTACAGCATTTATCATTTATTATCAATTTAAATATTTGCAACAGAAATTAATTAGTTTCATGTAACTCTTTATCATTATCTTTTCCTGGTACTACTACTGCTAAACGCAATTCCGCAATGAACTCAATGTAAAAGGGAATACCTTGTATTTACTGGCAGGAACCAAGTGCTACAATTTTCTCCAAACACTTCTTTGAAGTTGTTAAATTTGCCAATATGGAAACCATATTTATCAGTCCCTACATTTCGAAAGTTCGGAGGCCGGAATGCTTCTGTTGAAGAGAAAAACACAATGGTAATTTTTAGATAATACAGTCTCGTTTCAACTCACCCAACGTGGTTCTGTTTTCGATAACTAAGTAGCAATGGTAACAAAACAAGGAAAGTAAGCTGATTCCGAACATTATAGCCACGAAAAACAGGAATAAAATGTGAAATCGCCCCCTTCCCGGTAGATCTCCCTGAAAACACCAACATTCAGTTTCAAATAGTCATTCGACAGTTCCATAAGCTCACTTTCCAAAACGATACGAAGTAAGAAAGCGACGTTAGCGCTATGTACGCGCAATACGTAAGGGCGTAGGCTAAAAACAGGACGAAAAACTTGTAATTCGTAAAGGACACGCAGTTATTTATCCAAGGACAATGGTGGTCCATTTTTAAAACACACACACCGCACACGGAACAGTGGTGAGCGCGGTCAGGTTTCAGTACCCTGCATTTCTCGCAGAACCGCACTCCCCCGTTCACCGTAATGTTCGTGATCGGTAAACGTTTAGCCAAGTTTTCTAAGATGGAGTTTTGAGCTTCGAAATTATCGACGTTATTCATGTACGCTTCGAAGACGTTGTCTGGTATAATGAACTGCAACGGGAGAAATGATTAATAGGAGGAATTCGTGCGAGCGTAAACCTACTTTGTTCGGGACTGTTCCGATATCGGTGAATATAGTCTGGAAGTAGGACCAGCAAAACATGAAGAAAAATACATGGTAGAATATTAAATACAGCACTCTTCTAGTCACATCTTCGACTGTCACTGAAACAAATTATTTTAGCGATGTACAATTAATTGTATCGAGTTTATATTTACGCAGACAAAGTTGCACGACATAAGCGTAATAAGACCAAACTACGATTGTTACGATGAATAGGACTGGTATCCATTTTAGTGCCTTGAAACACCAAAAACAAGGACCTTGGCGTTCTTTCCCAGGTATCGCCATAACGAAGCATTCACATAATTTTAAGTCAGTCTTTTCAACAAATTCATGTCCGCAGTGTACTGTTCATTGGATTATTCTTGGGCGGGGTTAATATTTTACCTAAAACGATAAAAGTAATGAGATAAAGATAACGGACACGTTTGGAATTACCTGCACCTGCTATTATAATTCATTAATATATATAGAACGGTTTTTAATGATTATTTTATTACAATTTTGATTCCACAATCTCCTACAATCATTTTAGTTCTAATGTGCCATTTGTCAGTAGTTTTCTACTTCTTTTAGTTTTTTTAACCTCAAATTATCTATCTCTGACATTGATTGTATACAATCAATAATGCGAGCTATGTTGCCAATTCTTCACGATAAAATTCCACTAAAAATTTTTATTAAAATTTATTTATACAGGGTGTTCCTAAACATCGTTCACATACGGAATTGGGAAATTTTTTGGCTTATTTCATGACTATAATGTCATATAAACACATAGGTGCGCAAACACTTCGTTACAGGTCTACAGGGTATTGAAATTTCAAGAGTTTTCTTGGTCTTTTCTTTAGAACTCCTGCAATTTTTGAGGTATTTAGCTCAAATTTGAAATAGGGGTGACATTGAAATACATCAAATTTGAAATACAGGGTGACAATTTTTCAGTAGTCATGTTCCCCTTTCCCCCCTGAACTTTTTTTGGTGATTTTTGAACGATTTTCTGCAGAAATGATTTATTTTACAATACTAAAAATCTAAGTAGGTAATAACTATTAACCTACATTATAACAAATGTTGATAAGTGACCCCCCCCCACCTACTTAAATTCACTATACACCAAATTTGAGCTAAATATCTCAAAAACTGCAGGAGCTCTAAAGAAAAAACAAGTAAAATCTGGAAATTTCAACATCCTGTAGATTGATGGTTACGAAGTGTTTGCGGAGCTGTTGGAACTTTTGGTCATGAAATAAGCCAAAGAATTACCCTCTTCTGTATGTACACGATGTTGTACGAATATTTTATATTTTCGTTTCAAATGAACATTTTCACAATTTTGGATAGTTTTTGATTAGGTATTGTAACGATTTTTGAGACTTATGAAAATTGGATAATGAAAATACAATAATGCTTAATATTTTTATTTTATTTCAATATTTTTTTTTATCAGAAAAACTGATAAACATGGTAAACATTGCAAATAAAATTTGCCAATGAAATAATCATTTTTCAAAATTTTGGCGACCAATCAAACATATTTAAAACAATCATAAAAATTGTCGATTTTTATAAATCTTATAAAATGATTTAAACTACACATTTGCTCCTCGCAAGCATTTCATACGGTACGTCCCGAGCTAAACAGGTATACGAAATCAAACGCAGTGTATCGGTGATAATTTGTTCCAATGAGAGTTTAATCTAAATAAAATAAATAAAAAAATTTAGCTAATCACAACTTTCCTGCATTCGCAATCTCAACATTATTTTCCTTTTGTCTAGAGAATGTAGAAATAGCTTTACAAATTTAAGTATTATTGCTAGTTGCCATTGTTACGAACATCTGTTGGAAGTCAGCTAACTCCTGACCCAACATTTCAATCCCTTGTCCGGGCCGCAGTGGCTCGCCGTCCTTCACAGGTACATTTGGTTTCTTCTTATCGATTTCCGCGCCGCCGCCGCCGCCGCCGCCGCCGCCGCCGCCGCCGCCGCCGTCGGCTCTCCGGACGGAGCCGGACGTTTTGGAAGGAATCACCGGCTTGTTTGGAGGTATCGGAGGCGGCATGCCCCTCGCCGCCGCCACGTTCTTCTTCGGGGGAGTGTGCGGGGCCATCGAAGGCGGCTGGAATTGCGCGTGGTACCCGCCCACCTTCGGCGGCGTCCGCATCAGCGGCGCCTGCGCGGCCCCGGGGACGGCCGACGCCGACGCCGACGTCGCGCTGGGTTTCGCGGGTATACTGGGAGAAGGCGCTGTGGCTGTCTGTCGCAACGCTTGACCTGGCAGCACCGATTGTGCAATACCTGTAGCTGGAACAAATTATTTTCTTGTAAGTTACGATTGCTTGTCTATGAGAGAAGGCAACAATATAATAGGCAGTATTTATAAAAAGAAGCACAACCTTTTGCTTTCGAAAAATTAAGGAATTGCTTCAAGGTATACGCATGAAAAGAAGTGAAGGAAGAGAGATTTCGCTTCATGAAAAATCAAATCAAAGGTTTCATGATTTAAAATCTTTGTATAAGGTTTTTGAACCTTTTTCTCTTATTTTTGCACCTACCTTTTACTTCAAAGTAAATGCTTTATTTTTATAAATATGGACTATTGTTTGATGGGTACTACTAAACCTGGGAAATAATGTTATTAGATTGGTGACCTCTGGTAGACATAATGACCTCTCATCAGCGGGAAACTACAGAGAATCTTATGATCTAGATGGTTAATGGGCCAAAAAGACCTGTCCTCAAACAACAACAACATATGATACTAGTTTGATGGATAGTACTAAACCTAAGAAAGAATGTTACTAGATTCCAAAGATCTAGACAAAACAAGGACTCTACAACTCCTAAGGTTCACTAATATATCAATAACTTTTGGTAGGAACAATGACCTCATATCAGCGGGGAAACTACAAAGAATCCTATGATCTAGATGGTAATGAGCCAAAAAGACCTGTCCTAAAACAACAACAACATATAATACTTGTTTGATGGGTAGTACTAAACCTGGGAAAGAATGTTACTAAATTTCAAAGGTCTAGACACAACAAGGGCACTACAGCTCCTAATATTGGTGATCTCTGGTAGAAATTAAGACCTCTTATCAGCGGGGAAACTACAGAGAATCCTATGATCTAGATGGTTAATGGGCCAAAAAAACCTGTCCTCAAACAACAACAACTACATATGATACTACTTGATGGGTAGTACTAAACCTAAGAAAGATTGTTACTAAATTCCAAAGATTAGACACAAGGGCACTACAGCTCCTAATATTAGTGACCTCTGGTAGAAACTATGACCTACTATAAGCGGGAAACTACAAAGAATCCTATGATCTAGGTGGTTACTTTGTCGAAAAGACCTATCCTCAAACAACCAAATATATTTGTTTGAAGGGTAGATAATACTTACTAGGTCCAGATACGGGTACACTGGATACTGTAGCTGTGGGTTGCACAACCTTTGCTACGCTGCTGATCATAGCTGCACTACCGTCATTGGGAACTGCCGATCGACTTCTCAAAACCTCGAATTCCGCTTTAAGTCTTTGCAATTCCGCTTCTAATTCTTGACACCTGTTAATTGCCATTATTAAGCATATAAAGTAACCGCTTCGTTACGTTTTTTTTTTTACCTAATTTCTTTTTCTGATAACTGCGCTTTGAGAGTTTTCTTTTCGTTTTCGTACACGTGAAGTTGCTTTTCTAATTCGGCTTCCATCTGAAGCGATTTTTTACTTTCTTCTTCCAACCCCTCCGCCATCGTATCGATTCGAGACTTTTCTTCGGAGAGTATCTAAAAACGAAAAAGGGAACTTAATGCGGCGCACGAAACAGCCAGAGATAAAATCGAACCTGCGCCAAATCTTCGCTGCGCTTCCTCTCTTCGACGTACTTAACGATTATCTTCTTCCGTTCGGTCAACAGAAGCAACACGATCTGCTTCTGCCGCGCCCGCTCCTCGTCAGCCGCCTCCAGCTGCCGCTTGATCTCCTTCTCCAATTTCTTCCGGGCGTTCCGCTCGATCTCCAGCTCCTGCTTGAGCCGCGTCCGCTCCATCTCCAAGCCGTAGGTGATGTCGTCGCCCTGCGCCGTATCGTGCTCGTGCTTGCACTTCTCGTCCTCCAACTCCTGGATGACCTGCAACGGATGTTTTGTAACCGCGTTGAGCGAGCCCGGCCGCGCCCCGGTACCTTTTTGTGCTTGTTCTCGGCCTCTTTGAGCACGTTCATCATGTGCTGCTGCGCCCAGCGCTGCTGCAGGACGAGCTGCCCGAACGCCTGCAGCTGGTGCTCGGCCGCCTGGGCCATCTCCTTCTCGGTGGCCGGCGACTTGGAGGTCGGGCCGTCGGCGATGCTGTCGCGCAGGAGGGCCGTGTAGGGGTCCGATAGCACGGCGGGCCTGTACCTTCCGACGTTCACGACTTGCTTCAGCCTCTCCGACTGCCAACGAGTAATTAGGTTTAGTTTAGTAGGTTTAGTTTTGAAGGGGAGCAGGGGCGATCTGGTTACCTTAAGCGCTGCGATGACTATGTCCCTGGCTTGGATTTCGCCTTCGAAGTAAGTAACGAGTTTGATGAGATCATTTTTCGACAGTTCCATTTTGGGATTCCTCTGCAACAGGCATCGATTAATAGACTGAATTAATGCAGAATAAATTGTACTGTGGCTTATAAAATTCGATTTAATTGGTGTGGGTATGAATATCTTAGAATTACATTTGTATTGTAGGTAAAGTTAAATTTAACATTCGCATGTTTACTGCTCGATGGTAAATATTAATTAGTGGAATTAATATGTACGACTGTGTACGATGCATAAAGAATGCAAATATTTAAAGATCGTTTTATTTGTAGATGAAGACTGTATTGTGTGAATTATATTTCAAAAGAATTAATCCGAACATTGAAATTATTCGATACAGTAGATTGAACAATACAAATGTTTATTTGCACTGTAAATGAATGGATTAGTATCGAATTTAAGTATGAATCATTTTTAAGGACCTGGGAAACGTATAACAAGTTGTTTGCAAACAAAATAGTTGTTTTGCATTAGTTGTTTTATATTGGATATTATAATACTATTGTTGTTTTTTAATAATCAGATTCGAACCTTAAGTGTTGCATTTGTTCTATCCATCTGTTCATATTGATTCATATTTGATGTTCCTGGATGATCGGAAGAATTATCAAAGTCCACCCCGACTCCGAGACTGCCCATCGTACCCAGCCAGTCAATTCCTATGTTATTAGTACTATTAGTAGCCATATTGGAGGATTTAATGCTATCCACGGATTCCCCTCGATTTTTGGTAAACAGGAACGCTTGTTTCACATGTCATCTATAGTCATTTATATTTTCGAACATTAGCTAATTACATTCTCACTTCTATATCATGGAAACAAAACGCTTTTTAGGTTAATAAATATAGACAATCGATTTTTAACATCACACGATCTGGGGAATTTTGTTTTTGCGAATTTTCAGTTTAACCACGCCACTAGAGATGGGACTCGTTTTCGCGGTTATTCTGTACCGTTACCGTTCTTATGTGATTATCGCGGGAAATTCAAAATTGTGACTTCTATATTTAAAAATGTTACATAAAAGTTTACACATAAGAGAAATTTGTACGCAATATGGTCTATGGTGCAACAAATATAACTTCCATTAGTATCATATAAAGGAAAAAGATAGTGATATTGTGGAATTGCAACTTTCACACTCTAACTTCTGTTATTTAACTAACCTTTCTTTGTTCAACTCACAGAATTGACCATATTGCAAACAAATTTGCACTTGTATAATATAATCCTGTAGGTAAATTGGTCGAAAAGAGCCCCTTAAACACTTATAAAGGGAAAAGAAAGAGTGAGATTGTGTCATATATTGCAACTTTTTACTCTGACGTACAACTGAGTTATCTTTCTTTGTTCAACTCATAGAAAGGATCATATTGTAAACTGAACTGAAGCAAGGTGTATAATGATAATTATTATACATATTGATTCAATTCAGACCGTAACATGGTCGTTTCTATGAGTTGAACAAAGAAAGATTGATATAATAACAGTTGTCAGAGTGAAAAGTTGCAATGACACAAATGTCACTCTTTCTTTTTCTTTTATAAGTGTCTAATTGAAGTTGTCTTTTTCGCACTTATAGCCTATATAACCTATGTTGCGATCTGGAATAAAGCACAGTGTATAAATTAGAATATCATACCCTCCTCTCCTCTCCTCTCTTCTACCATCTACTCTATTCTAATTCTCTTCTTTTCTACTCTCTTCTGCTCTGCTCTCATCTCTTCTAAATATTCTCTTTTGCTCTGCTTTGCTCTACTCTATTCTAAATCTACTATCATTTGCTCTGCTCTCATCTCTTCTAATTAATATTCTTTTCTGCTCTGCTTTGCTTGATTCTATTCTAAATACACTCTCTTCTGCTCTACTCTTATCTCTTCTATTCTGCTTTACTCTACTTTCTTCTATTCTCACCCTTTTTACTTACATATGATAATAAAAATGATAGATACTTGATTGATTCAATTATTCAGTCACTAAATCCTTAGAGGGTATTTCTGAATAGGAGATGAACAAAAAATAAATGTAAAAATAAAACGAAAATTTTATATTTAGGTGGAGTATATTATGAACAGTGATAATTTACTTCTTCCAGAAGGATCACATTAACAAATTTCTTTATATACTTTATATACAGACACATTTATTTTTTGAGTACATAAAATGCACTAAACATTCCTGATGGGAATATCAAAAAATAAATGACGCTAACAGTTATGTTTAAAAAAATTATATACCAGGTGACTAAAAAGCGTACGATCATTAAGAACTATATCCCACACCAAGTACGTTATGTTTATAATTCCACAAATGTTTGTTTTATCCATTGAATGTAACATGAAGAAAAAAAGGATAACGGACACTTTTTGTTCTAGCGAAAAATCAAGTATTATTAAAATGATTGCACGAAAAACATTGCACGATATTTAGCATAAAATACACTTGAAAGCGGATCAAACGATTAAAATTCTAGTGACAAAATGTAAAATTTATTAAAAGTAGATATTTTACTATTATTTAAAATCAGTCGACAATCACTAGACAAGCTGAATTATTAAGGAATGTTTTAAAAATCTTAAATAGTATCAATAATTCATTGATGTTAATGGAATTATCGATTTTCAGTTACACATTGTAAATGTTCGTTATCCTTTAGAATAAAATACACGTGTGAAAGATATGGGGAATTAATTACGAACAGTTATCACATACACAAATTTCAGTAAAAATTCGTTACAAAAATTAACAACTACAGTATTAATTAAGCACATCACAGTTTCCAAAAGAAGAAAAATAAATAAAATACACTCTTATAAAATAAATTAAAGGAAAATATCATTTTTTTTTAGTTAGCGTGACAATTTATAATTAAAATCAGTTCAATTTTCTTATTACACGATCGCTTGTTATAATGGTTTTGCATAAAATTATAGCTCAAAAAAAATAAATTAACGTAATCGATTATAGACGCTCGGAAAATTAATAATACAAAAATAAGATTGCATTTTTTCAACACTCTCGGCACTTTTTCGTATGAAACTCTGGGAACTGTTGAACAAAATTTTTCCAAAAAGTACCTAAAGCTAACACAATATTAGGCTTCACACTATAAGAAATCATTCAAATAAATAACTTAATCAACATTGAATGATTCTAAACGAAATAATCTAAGTTACGATTATTAAACACTAAATATTAGACATTGTGTGATAATTCTTTATAAACGCTTATACACTTATTTGATTATTTCTATGACTCGATCTAGATTTCACATACATAAAATAACGTTTTAACTACTGTAAAACATCTATTTTACTGAATTGTACGGTATATTTAATTTAATAGTCGACAAGTTGTAAAAATTCTGTTAAAAAAAAACTTGTTCAGAAAACTGATAGGATAAATACAGTTTTCTACAATTACGTACTTATTAAAATAGACTGTTGAAAAACGAAATAGAAAATTCCAATCGCCTGACAAACAAAAATTATATACAAAAATGATTTTTTTGAGAAAAAAAAATTGTACAATAAACCTAATTGAAAGGCGACTATTTCCTGTATAGAGTATTTGACAATGACTAGTTAACAATAACATCCATATTTTTAAGGTGATCATTATTCAAGTCTGAGCAATTAGGAGATAACAAAATACAAATAGATTACATTTAATACTACACCTTTTAGTCACCTCTGTCGCTATGTACACGAAATTTTATAAAATAAAATGGACGTATAACGTTAAAAACAACCTAAGACGACTACTTCGTATTTTTCTCTTTTTTGTCAGACTTTAGCTGGGAAGTTTCGCAGTAATTCGATTTTTTCTCGATTTTCTCATCGTTTCTATTGCATTTTTTCGTTTCCTTGTCGCCCTTAGCGTGACTCTCATCGACTCTAACGGCTTTCGCATCCTTATCAGGAGATTTATCGTCGCTCTTGCGCGCTTCGAGCTTCACCTTTTTGTCTTTCTCTTCGACTTTCACCTTCTTCTCCTCTTTACACTTGCTTCCTTCGGCCTTCTTATCTTTCTCGGGTTTAATCGGAGCCTCCATCACTTTCACCTTCTTCTCCTTATTCTGTACGTCTTCTAGCTTAAACCTTACTAATTTACAGTCAGCTTCTCCTGCGTTATCTTTCCTTTCTTTGTCAGTTTTGAACTGATCATCTATTTTGGTCCTTTGATCCTTTCTCTGGCTTTCTTCGTCCTTGCTTCGCTTGTCTTTTTTAATCGGATTTTCCACTGCCTTGCTTTGAGCATCTTTAACGTCCTTATTGTCAACAGATCCAATGGGATCCTCCTTAGCCTGGTCCGCGTCCTTCTTCAGCTTGATTTCCTGCCCGTTGTTCGTCGGCGAGTCCTTTTCCTCGGCTATCCTCGGCAACAGCTCGCCCACCCCAGACAAGTTCAAAGACAATCGATTCTCGGACGCGGACGAATTCAAACCTAAAACAACACGAATTAGCAACGAAATTAGCGCTGTACGCGGATCGAGACAACTCACTAGAATCGCTCGAAGTCGAGCTATCCAAATCGCTTTCCTTATCCCGATCCTGCTGCGTGTTAGGATGCCACACGGACGAGCTGCCGACCACCCTGCTCTGGCATTTCACGTTCGCGCTGCAAGCGCTGCCCGACGAGCACAGCGGCGATATCGAGCACTTGTTCTCCGCGCTCCTCGGGTGCAGCCTGTCCGGCGACAGCGCCCGCCTCAGCAGAGGCGATCCCGGCTCGCCGCTTTTGGTCCGGGCGAAGCTCTTCTTCGGCGGCCCGATGATGGCGATGGGCGTCGAGCCGGCGCTCGGGCTGTACGATTGCGTGGTGTTCGAGCTGCCGGGCTGGTGGCCGATCGGAAACGCCAGCGGACTCGGCGACCTCGTCGGCGACGCCGGCAACGGCGACGGCGACGGCGTCCGGGCGAGCGGCGACAGCGGGATGTGCCCGACCGATTTCCGGCGGCTCTGCACCGAAGGCGAGCAAGTGGGGCCGGCGGCGTGCAGGGATTTCGGGCAGCCCGTCGTGTGGAGCTTGTGCTTGAGGCCGTGCAACGTCGACGGCCTTTGGTAGTGCTGTTTGCCGGCGCGGTTCGACGCGACCGCCGTCGGCGAGGGGCTCTCCGACGAGGTGGATTGGTTCGAGAACGCCGCCGCGGCGAGCGAGAACGATTCGGCCGCCGATAGGGTGGCTCGCGTCGGGACCGGTCGGACGGTCGATGAACTGAATGCGCTCTCGCCGCCTTTCGCGAACGATTGGAAACTTCTGCTGGGCGTCACGCCGACGGGCGATTGAAGGCCGCTGCTAGAAATCTACAAGAAAAAAATACTTGTTAGCCTATATTCAACGCCTCTGTTTAACTTTAAAACGATTCTAAAGTCGCGTTTCGGGTCCCTAGTTGCTCCGTAACAACAATGTAAATCTGTCAAGTTAAAGACGCGACTTTAGAGTCACTCTAATGTTGAATACGGGCCATTAAGGGCGCCACTTCGGGGTATTTTTAAATGGGAAAACATAGGTTCAGTAATTTCAGTAAGATTCAAATTTGGCTTCATTAATTGATTTGAGTGTTTCTTATATCTAATATAGAGACTCCAAGTAATGAGAGTCCTATCTTTAATATCTCCTACTTTATTATATAAACTGCTCCACAAAAGTTAAGGAAGTTTGCAAATTTAGCGATTATTTTAAAAGTTACAGACTTTTTGATCACCAAATTTTTAAATATTATGCGAAATTAAATGTTATCTCTTATATCTAAGTGGATTTTTTGCCCCTACCTCTACAATTCATAATAAATTTGGCGATCAAAAAACCTGCAACTTTTAAATTAATCTCAATATTTGTCAACTTTCTTAACTTTTGTGGATCAGTATATTTAATGAATTGAAATCAAAAACTGCCATTTACTTGCAAATGGCAAAACGTAAATTCTAGTAAGACTCGAGTTTCCTCGAAAGGATGTGTAAATAATTTTAGTAGTATGAAAAATACTTATTACAGAACGACGTCTCCTAGTTTATATTGATCCACAGGCTGTATTAAATTGAAAAAAAAAAACTAATTAAAGTATTTTAGCAAATGATGATGATAGATTCCTGTAAATTATGATGCCGCCTGACATAAATGTCAAATCACAGAACAATTTTGTAAATTTGACTAGCGACAGCGGTGCCAGTAGTTTCCGTTTTTCATATATTTTTAGATAATTTGCAGTTTTTTAAGGGCAGGTAATATGAAATAAGGTATTTCCAGTGCACCGGAATACTTTTAGAGCACTTTAATGAGTATTTTTAAAACCCTAATTTTATCTTTTCAAATTGCAGGGAAAAGAATTAAATTCAAAATATTTTGAAAAGGATTTCTTATTTTACTTTCTTATTTTACGTTTGATTTTATGTCAAGTGTAAAACACTTGTCAAGTATGTCAAGTGTGACCTTTATGAAACACGTAACATCTACTAGTGAGTAAAACTAATCTCATCCCATCTATTGTGAAAAAATTTAACCAAAAATAGCCCTAATATTACCCCACGAATTACGAATTCGAGGGCGTGCTTTGGCGGCCTTAAATTTAACCTAAGCGAACGTAAGTAATTCACCTTCACTTGCTGCATCTCCACGTTAGCCCTCTTGCTGCTGATTCGCTTGAAAAGCGACGTCTTCCTGCGCTTGTCGCTCTCCTTCTTCTGCTTCTTCTGTCGATTCAAGCTCCGCTTGGCCAGCTTACTTTGGCCGGGCTCCCTCTTCCTCCCGCCCGTCTTTATGGACGTCTGCTCCAAAGGCGTGGCCCTCAAGCTGACGTGCTCGGCGCCTCCGAGCAGCAGCTGCAGCACCTGCGTGTGGTAGAGCCCCTGCACGGTCTCGCCGTTGATGTGGGTGATGAGATCGGCGGGGCGCAGGCCCGCCTCGAACGCGGGGCTGCCCTCGTCGACGGCCATCACCAGGTGGTGCATGGTGTAGACGTCCGTGTCGCCGTAGTACACGCGTATGGTGTGCACGGTGAACCCGAAGCCCTTCGGCCCGCGCCGGATGATGATCGGCGGCTTCAGGGTCGTGCCCAAGGGGGACAGCTCGCGACAAGGTGAAGTGTCCCGCGAGCTGGCGGTGCTCGAGCCGCCGCCCGCGCCCGGCGAGTGGATGATCTGCGTTGTTGTTATTTCGTCTGAAAATGTATAATTTTTTTGTTGCTTCGTAGAGGTACATTTCGTGCGATTTATATACCTGCCGGTATCATGAGGGAGAGTCCGGAGGTGCTGGCGCTTCTTACGACGGACCTCGAGGAGTGCCCGAACAATCCGGAGGCCTTCAATTGGCTCAGCGATGGGAAATCTTTGTTCTCGGTTATGTAGGATCCGGTGCAGTGGTCGTCTTCGACGGAAATCGAAAATTTCGGTAGAAAATCTCGCGTGTGAACGACCGCTTTTTTCCTTCGGTTGATCTGCGGCGAAACGTCGTCGCTGTCCGTTTGGGATGATTCAGGTGTGGTTATTGTGCAGGACGATAAATCGAGCGATATCTACAAATCCGAGCGATAAATTTAACGAAAAAGTGTATTATAAATCGAATTTACCATCTTGTTTTCGGGTTTCTTCTTCTCTATCGTTCTCGGTGTTAAATAATCGGGCAGCCTGGGTCTAGGTTTGCATTCTATCGTATCCGGAGTTCCGGGTACCGAAGATTCGGAGGCGCTGGTCTTCAGCGATAAAGTGCTGTTATTCTCCGGATCCGTGTCGGTGCTGTGGGAACTCATTTCGGAGACTTTTTTGTATTGAGGAGAGCACGATGAGAACAAGCCGAACACCGGCGAATCGTCGGTGTCGTCGGTATCGTCTTCCAGTTCGTGACAATAACGATCGATTCTACCTGGAAATTTAAAAGAGATTAAAAACAACTGCGGTGAATTCAACCGAAACGACGCACTGTCGAAGTAACTCGTGTCCTCGTCGTGTTCGAGTTGCGGTATGAATTCGGCCTTTTTGCGGAGCAACGAGTTCCAGTCGATGCCGTGGAAGTAGACGTGCTCTTTGATCTCGTGCGCGCCGCCCGTGCCGAGCCTGTCTCTCGGCGAGTGCTGCAACAGCGATATTATGAGGTCCTTGGCTTCCTCTTGCACCGGCCAGTCCTCGTTCTCGGGCCATTCGATCTCGTCTGGAAAAAAAGGCGGGTTTCAAATCGGTTCGTCGAGGAGCGATCGAGGTGTACCTTGCACGGTGTGCGCGAACAATTCTTCGGGCGTATCGCCGAAGAACGGGACGCAGCCGATCAGGAATTCGTAGAGGACGATGCCCATCGACCACCAGTCGACTGGCTTGCCGTACCCTTGCCTCAATATCACTTCGGGGGCGATGTACTCCGGGGTGCCGAACACTTGCTTGTCGGAAAACTTCCTCGACTCCGTGTCCATGTATCCTTCGTACAGGTTCGTGGCCACTAAAAAAAAAATCAGATCGGTTACAAATGTGTTGTTGTGTATAATCGGTAATATATTTACGTGACATTAATCCAACTTTACTCAACCCGAAATCGGTTAATTTTATGTGGCCCAACGCTGTTATTAAGAGGCTGAAACAGACAGAAGTTAACTAAATACAAACTTAATAGAGAGGAGTACGACTTTTTTTGAATTTTTTCTTATAAAACTACGTATTCTTAAGGTACATTTACATTCAATTACGTGTGCGCTTAAAGTTTAAAATTTGTCCGCTTGACAAATGACTTTTGACTTTTTAATCTTGTCAAATAAATAAAAACAAAAACTTAACCTCCAACTAAATCAACTTACACAATTTTAAAATGTCGCATCTGAAGGTAGTTAAAACTTGTAATTTTGGCCCAATAAACTTAAAACAAAGAAACTACAATAACATAATCCTAGGTATGTCATCTGTCATTTGATGTTACATTTCCCTTCGTTCGTTTCTTCTACACTAACGAACACTTTGTTCGAATTCTTATGCCACTAACGACACAATGTAACTTTGTGATTGGTTAGTGACTTTACATGTCACTTGTCAAAATTTAAAACGCTTATATTTCGTAAAATATTCATTTATCGTGTTAAAAACCGTATACCTCACATCATACTCCTCTCCATTGCAAACAAACTTACTTGTCCGGTTTTAAATCCCTGTGTACGATCCCATAGGAATGCAAATACTCAACGGCCAGGACCGTCTCGGCGAAATAAAACCTAGCCATATCGGCCGGCAGGGGGCCGATGTTTTTCAACAAACTGGCGCAATCGCCGCCCTCCACGTACTCCATCACGAGGCTGAGGTGTTTCTTGGTCTCGAAGCTGCAGTACATGCTGACGACGAACGGATTATCGGCGAAGCTCAGGATGTCCCTCTCGGCGAAAACCTGCTCGACCTGGTTGCGCAACATCAAGTTGTTCTTGTTGATCTTCTTCATGGCGAATCGCAGGCGGGTTTGCTTGTGCTTCACCAAGTACACGGCGCCGTAGGCGCCGTTAGAGATCAGCTTCACCACGTCGAAGTCGTGCTCGTTCGGATTGGCCAGGGTCTTCCTCATGGTCGGCGTCGAATTCAGCACGACGGGCTTGTTCTCGTTGGCCCAAGTGCAATCCCGCAACTCCTGCTGGAGCTCGGCTATGGGATCGCGGTTCAGGCCGAGCTTCTGTATGATGTACTGCGGGATGTCCGCCTTGATGCCTTGCACGCCCTTCACTTGACCCTCGGCTGCTTCGAGGAAGTGGTAGAACTCTTCGGGATCGAATTCCAAGCACTCCAACAAACGGGCCGGCCGAGATATAATAAACAGTAGCTTCTTGATGAAGCTCATCATTAAATTAGCTGCGTCTTCGGATTTGTCTTTAGTCTGCAAATAGTTACGAGGTAAATACAATTGTTATAAGGAAGTGAATGGACTGGTCACCTCTGTTAATAATCTTTCTAAATTCTCCGACATCTCGCGAAAATACTGACTGGTAATAAGCTTAGTTTGCGATTTGTAGAGGCAATCTCTCGCTATTTCGAGGACCTGGTGGTGGACGAACCGCACGATCGGCAGGCAATCGCAATCCTTCCCGAAATCCAACGTTTTGTTCTCTTCGATGAACTTGCCCAGTCTCTCCTCCATTTGCTGTGTGGCCCTCGGAAAGCGCTCTTTGTACAAGACGTTCATCATGCAAATTTCGTTGTCGATGATCGGAGATCTGCTCGGGCTGCTCAAGCTGCGAGATCTGGGCCGGTGCAGCGGCGATCTGTGGCTGGCGGTGGAGTTCTCTTCGCCGCCGCTCGCGCCCGACGCGTTGCTTTCGTTACTCGAAAAATGGTGCGTGAGGATTTGGATGTCTTCCGATGTGGGAATGTGCGGTAACTGGTTCAGCCGTTCTTGACTAGAGCACTTCGACTGCAACAGCGAAAACCGCGTGAGGCGCCCGTTTGGGTTTCTAGCGACGGGTTCCTTACCGATAAATTCGAACTTCCTGGTGTGGTTCCGTAGCCAGACGATGGCAAGGAAGCGACCGACCATCGGCGTCCATCTCCGCGGTAACCGGCGACAATTCTGCGATATTACAACGACATTTATGTGTATTTACAATGTCGCGTTATTACTCACCTTTTGATTGGTGCGAATGAGAAGTTGTTGAAGCTTGATGTGTGTGTTCTGGGACTGTCGAGTGGGCTACCGCAAACCGGCGAATGAGATCTTTGTAGTATTGGACTTGTATTGGAGACGAAACTCAGCCTGTGAATTGCGGCCGATCTGCTGCTGTTCCTCCTGCTCGCAGGACATGACTCCTTCTGAAATGTTAATCCAAGCCAATTATGAATCGATAAGTCATAAAATTATTATACTAGATTCTTCTGCTACATTTTCAGAGCGTGGTACTAGTTTTTTTGTATTTTACCTTTCTGGGCGCACCTAGTATAATATTGTAATAAAATTATTCCCTAAGCGTAAACATAAATTAGTTTGGACACCTTTGATATAATAAATAAACAAACAAGACGCTCATTCCATATACATTATATATCAAAAAAATTATATGCGATTGGAAATATAAAAACAAGGCTTACTTTATTTTTGAAATGCGACATTGAGATTGAGAACCCAATCTGTCATGGTTTTTATTATACCGTTGGAAAATATTTATCGGGAACCGGAGCAGTCAGAGACACACGAGTTCCGACAATTGCACTTTAACAAACATTTTATTTAGAAAGAAATATTTACTTTGGCAAACCGCTCGACCTTTAGCTATATCGCAAATGCTTTTTACAACGAACTGGATTGAATGAACGGCGAATGGCGTCTACCCAATTTAAAATATTACGGGCCGAAAAACATCAAATAAATTAGTTGCATAAGTATCTTTTTAGTAATTGTTATTCCCGCATATTAAAAATCGATTTTGTTTAAATCGTCGACGGACGTTCATAGAGAGCGAACGCTTATATGCTTTACTTTACATAAAGTAATTGCGTACAATGAACTGTATTTCTGTTAATTCTATAAACAATCAATATATCATCGGCTCGGATTTCTTAATTACAAAAACGCAGCGTAATTGTGTGTGTGTGCTCGAAATCTGGTACAGGTCAATTTTCGTAAATATTGAGTCACGTACTTAAACTTTCATGAAAATGGAAAAGGAGTCATTTGGTTAACTAACAATAGCAATTAAAGTTCGTTCGACTTTCAGACATCGTTAGGTCACAATCGAAGGTAGAAACTTGTTGAAATAGGTCTATTGGCTCATTGATAAATATTTAAAAGTTTATATTTAGACGGCGATAACGAATGCAAGAGGTGTCATGGGAGCGTACTAAATTGCTGTTTAATAACAATTTTATTTTTAATTCAGATGATTAATTTATAAATATAAACAATTGGTAAGAAATTAAGCAATTTAGAAATCGAGATGTACACAAAAATAGTTTTCTAATTTTATTATAAATGATAAACTTACCATATTTAAGGACAAGGATGGAGCCGACTTTCCCAAAGCCGACTTTCTTATCCTAACTAGGTTAGAATTGCCATTTTCTGGATCTGGAAAATCACAATAAATCAAACGTTTATTACACACTAAACATGAGATAAACTCGTCTTATTCAACGGGCTGACACGTATGATTCCAAGTTTTTTTTAGTTCAGTGCTACACTTGCGGTTTCCAATTAAAAACTATAAATTTTCCAACTAATTTTTTTATCTTAGCGAGTAAATGAGATTTATTTTTATACGGTCAAATTTTAATTTATGTAATCCGAAGCAGATATAGGTATGTAAGTTGTACGTAAAAATAAAAAAATTAAATTCAAGGATTCTTGTGACAAACTGTCTATTGTAAAACGAAAAGTTTAAGTCAACAGAGGACTTAAAGTCGAAATATGATAAGATGAAGTGTTAACATTTATATTCTTTTAAATACGTCGTTAACAATTAAAAATATTCTTCTCTTTTTGAGTTCGCGTGGAAAATATTTAAGCATTCAGTGCACCTATGATGTTAATCCTCTCAAGTTAAAGTACATTGTATTTACTTTTGTGGTTTGTTATCGAATAATAATGTAATTAGAAACAATTTTCTGTTTAAGAACTCAAAAATGCATTGTACACAAAAATCACCTGCAAATAACGAGGTAATATTGGAAACAGAAATGAAAAAGCTTCACGAGTCAGAAACAAGGATAACAATCCCAGAAGGAATGATTACAGAAGGTAAGTAGGTATGAATTCTTATTACATTAGTCACCAAACACGGTAAAAAAAAATATTTTTAAAGCATATAATGAATTCTCGCCGTACAATTCTCCCGCATGCAGTACTGAACTAGTTTTAGTTTTTTTTTTCAATTGCATAAGTACTAGTAAATAAGATAAACGAGATTACGAAATGAAGTATTTTAGCAACCAAAGTGTAAATACGCCCATGCCTTGCTTCAAAAACATTAAATCCGCTTCTAAAAAATTTGCACGATTTACCAAAAGCTGCTCATAAATTCGATGGCATGATCCACTAAATGTGCATTCAAAAAAAAACATTGGTAAAAAATGCATTCGGCGAAAACATGATGTTGTATGCAGTGAGACCTACAGGACATTTGAATTCGTTTTAGCTTAGTGAGCTATACAAAAAAATCTAATTAATTAATCACCTAAACATAAATACACTGTATCGTATATTCGTGTTTAAAAAACCGCAAGAGGTCGATTTCTAAATATAATTTTCACGTGTATGTGCTATGTTTTTCTGATAAAAACTTGGTTAGGTACTCGTTATAGATAAATTAAGAAATTAACAATTTCCTTACAGGTTTGATGGAAAATTTTTATAGAAATCAATAGCTTTCCACAACTTGTTAGGTATTTTTATGCGGTACAGTAACGCGAGTGAATCTAGGACATCAATAAAAGTTAGTTCTTGAGATTATTTTTTGCTGTATAATGTAAACAATCCGTTCAGATAAATTATTGTCTCGGTCAAACACATGAAGGGATCGAACGCTAAAAGGCAATTTTGTTAGCAATTCGTGGATTAAAATGGATAGATACAAAAAATTTTATGGATAAATTAATTAACCAAATTAAAGTCGAATTGATAAATGTTTCGAAAACATGCATCTATTGTTATCTATATCTATTTTTGTAGGCACTTCTTACCTTTATTAGTATACTAACCATAATTTGTATATTAAAAATACTCTATATAATGTAACAAATTAGTAAATGTGTATTAAATGTCGACCCCAGTAAGTAAAAATCCGATTTCTTCTCGAAAATATCTCAATCTACATCTGAAAATAATTAATTGTCAAAGTACCTGTATTGTTTTTTGTATGCAAGATTAACAATGTTTTTTAGCAAGAGGTCTAATTTATGTATGTATACATTGAACTATGAATAGATATTAATTAGAAAATAAAAATTTCGGTGAAAGTTGAATGGAACTCCACCTGGACAAAACTAAAAACTCTTATTGAATAAGCTAATTAAAGCCGATGTTGTAATAACGTAATTGTTGTAATTACAGAGTTGATATAAATAAAAACAACAACTTATCGTTGGAAAATAGGTGAATGACTGAAACAGTCGATTACTCATAACAAGAGAATAAACTAGACATATTAGCAAACCTGATTGATGTTTTCGCGATATCCATGATTCAGCGCAAGAATTTTGCCTCTGTTCCAATCGAATGCCAGGCTTCGGCTCATTAAAAACCAATACTCTCGCTGAATTTGATCGAGGTCGTGGTTTCACCCCCTTGTCCTCCATCTAGTTATTACCCCGAATCAAGAATTGTTAACAAATATAACGATCACATCACTCCACAACAAGTTGTGGCACAATCTTATTACACAATACATTTCGTTTTATTTCATCAAATAGACTGAATGCCATATCTTAAAGTGAACTTTCCTTTCCCCGAACGGCTACCAAATAAGCTCACGGATTTGGTCAACACAGACACATCTTGGAACAACAAAGTGGCACAAAGAAAGACCGTCTGCTCTGCCTCTCTTTGCCCTGTACGTTCATTTACAGCAGCAGCTGACCACAGCACAGCACCATTGAATTCCAATGACAGTTCTCCAACTCCAACAAACAATTCTTCGACGATGCCAAATCAACACTGAATTCCGGCATTCTATTTAAAAACTTGGTTTCTTAACCGTGCGCCGTTATCCGAGATGAATCATCTGGTTTCGAAATTTCAATATGTATACTGAAAACCAATTAAAAATCCCATTTATCAGGGGGAGCATCCATTTGTCATTATAAAACAAACAAAATTTCATCGCTGGCTTTTGCGCAATTTGCAAGTTTATGAACTGTCAAATTCTGTGTTCCGTGCCATTCAACGTTGCCAGAATCCAAAATTTGATTTCATTTGATGATTTAGTCGAATTCGCTGCTGGAGATCAATGAAGTTTCTTGAAATATGTATTTACTTCTCGTGACTCACTTTTTACAGAGAATTATGATTTGCAAAATTTTCCTAAAACCTCGTACTATTTGGAACCATTTCAAAATGCTGAAGTCTCTCAAGCGGAACAAAGTGAGCTTTGCAAGATACATTATGTCAAAATTTATGTATTTATACAGTTGGTAACACTAAAAACTCTAGATTTTTTCTAGTGTTTTGATTTCTGATTTATTTCAATTTCATTTCATCTTCATTTAGTGAGTCCAAATTAATAATATTTAATTTATAAACAGTATTTATATGTTAAACATAATAAACAAGTTTTTAATCTTCCGCAATCTGTCAAATCAAAATCAAATGCCAACTGTCAAGTGTCTATGAGACAGAATGGCGACAATTAAAACGAAAATTAAATATTAAAACCATACTAATCTCATAACTTAAGTAGATGGTACTAATATAATATAAAGCATATTTTTATGGAAATGTTAATTTCTAGCATTTGTTCAAAAATCACTAGATTAATGAATTTTCGAAAGACACGGCAACCATGATGTGGCGGATAATGACATTTTATTTTGTTAGAGGTGGATATTTGAAATATTATTTTTAAAACATGAGGTATTTTTAGAAAAACAAATAAAACTTTTACAAGTTTTGCTTAGTGAAGTAAATTTTCAAGTTCAATTTAGTAAATTGTTAAATTACAAGAAGGCACATTTTAATTTTGTTACAGAATTAATGATATCTTTCACTTCCAC